TCAACCTAAAAGTCGCCAACGATGACGACCAACGCGCAGCAGGCAAGAACAATGATATTCCCCTTTTTATTCCAGTGATTACAAGAAACTTATAGGATTAGGGCAAATACCGGGCAACAATCAACAATAATATCCAAGGAACAGCGAGGAACACCAAAACGCTCGAGGTAGCCGAATACCACTACTCAAACATCTAGTAATGCTAAATGGTTCAGAAAGAGAGATTTAAGTAACATATATAGAGATATCAAAGGGTGATGAAAGAAATTATCCAAAAGCGGTAGAGGCTCGTGTAAAAAATAGTACTTGAGAAAGATTGGCCGTCAATGAACGACTGGATGCGTGCATGCTGTGCACCCCGCTGGGCAAGGACTAGCGTGTCTTTTTGGAGCAACTTCACTTCAAGTCATCACCGCCAGGGTGGAGGACATAGGGAGCGCACCGAGTTTACCGGTCATTGAGAAGGCCTGGCTCAAAAGCAGATTCCAGAAGAAAAGGAGGGTATTATCATAAAGTTGCGTTGCATTAGTTTGCGTTGCCCAACTGGTGAGTTCACAACGCTAAATGATTGGTCGAGTCTCTGCTGAAAAGGAAGAAGAAGCCTGGAACACTGAGGTATTCAGTTGTTGATGGTAAAATTGAAAAAGTTCTCGATAGGAATGGATAATACGAAGGCAGTACGAGGACCTGGATTTCAGACAGAAAGGTGTGAGTCTCATCGTGCCTTTTGTTCATGACAAAATGGCGTGTTAGGTGAACCACGTAGTGATGAACTCCCCACTTTTCATTCGACTTGTTTTCCGACATCCTCTACACTGAAAGACCTCTAACATCTTTTCGAATCCATGAAAACGATGTCGCGAGCAGTCTGGCTAAAACTATACTCTTGAAAAGATTTACGAGCTTCAAGGCACCGTTCATTTGACTCAATGTGGATGATGTGGAGAGAAGTAGGTAGGGGAGAGCGTAAGACCCTTGAAGATCCGCCTGGCATAGAAGAGCGTTGGCTAATCCAGCTGCCTACCCACACAGATTTTTCAGGCATCACACACAAGCACGAGAAAGAAAACACTCCTCCATGTGAGGGATCTGCGTGGAATTTGGTACGGGCCCTCGAAAGGAAAATTATGGAAGCACAGGAAATACAGTGCGGTACACAAAAGATCGTACCCCGTAGAAAAACTAGTTTCAGAGAGAAAGGCCAAAGTTTTTATTGCTTCTGCCGACAATATACGATTATAATGGATGAGACTATTTTTCGGGGTAACTACTTGACCATACAACTTCTTTCAAGTTCTTAGCAATAGTTTTACGCTTTTGACCGGTGCATATTAGATTGGACGATATGCATAGCCAACCAAAAAAAAAAACAACACCTGAAATCCGTTC